CCGTCCTCTGCTGGGGAGGTTTCTGCACCACATACAGACCCCTCAAGTGATGGCTCCTTTCCTGAGTGCTCAGCGGGCTGGCCAGCCAATGGTGGGTCCCCAGAGGGGTGGCAGCCCACCGGGCGCCCCTCTGCTGCTCTCCCTGCCTCGGTGCCTCCTGTCACTGCACTCCTGGGGGCGTTGTGCAGAAATGGTTCCTACACTGTAGACACAGACAGGCCTGCAGCGGGACCTGAACGCTCATTGCTAACGTCGCGTCTGAGTCCCTAGCCCCTGCACAGTCACCTTAGAGCAGGGATCGGTAACGACAGCAGGGACGTTCGGGGCACTGCCTGCGTGTGAGCTGCCTCGCTCGGGCCAGGGGGGCTACAGGCCTCGTCCTGGCCTCCGTTTACCACTGCGGACGTGGGCTGGTGGGGACGGAAGAACGTTCCCACACTGGACCAGGGCAGGCGGGTGGGCGCCGAGAAGCCGGAGGGGACAGGAACTGAGAGAGGGAGCCAGAGGGCGCAGGGGGTGCAAGACCCCGGCTGCCCCCTCGCTTGGCCCTGGCCCCTGGACAGCGCTGGCCTGCGGCCTCCTGTGGGGTCTGCTCCCGGGGCTCTGGCGCGAGGGGTGAGAGGCCGGCCGCGGCTGCCCAGGCTGGCTGTGCCTCGTGGGCCGCGGACCCGTCACTTGGCTCTCTGCAGGTGATGACCCTGCCCAGGTGCCCGCTCACCTGGGCCCCCGCCCGTCCTCGCTGGCCCCACTGCACCCGCGCTCAGCTGTGTCAGCAGTCCCTTTCCGGACTTCCGTCCCCCAGCTCGTACGAGAGGCCTATCTCCTGCGAGAGCTCTACCACCGCGGGGAAGAGCGTGGAGGAGCGGCGTCGGCGTGCGCGGGCGGGCCGTCGGCGTGCGCGGGTGGGGCCGGGCGTGGCGTCTGCGTGCGCGGGCGGGGCGTGGGCGGGGCCATAGTACTTGCCTTCCGGCCTATCTCCGGAAACCCGCTCTGGCTGGGGCGGGTAGCCCCGCGCTACGCCGTACAGTGCAGCGGGTCCCATCGTGATGGGAAGCTCTCTGGGGGCCACAGATTTCGCGCCCACGTGGCGCCTGCATTTCCCAAGCCGCACACCGGCGGGACCTGTGCGTGCGCGGGTAGATTCTTTGCTTCCCTCTTAGGTGGTATCAGGGTCTTTCACATATAGTTGCTGTCAAAGGCAGTGTATGACAGCCCCTGCGGTGAAGCAAAGAACCAGGGCCCGAGGCCCCAGGCGGCCACCGCGCTGCTGCCGTGTCCAGAGGCTGTGCCCTCCCAGGTGACCGAGCGGCTGGAGGAGGCCAAGGGGCCGCTGCAACCCCGGGGACCTGTGACACCTGGTGGAGCTCTGGTTAAGACCCGGAGAAGCTGCCCCCGGGAATGGGGATCCGGTCTCAGCGACGGGGTCTCCGCCAGTGTCGCCGAGGCTGGGCCAGGGGGTGTGTGCTGGCTGCTGACCCTGATGAGTGCAGGGCTGCCGCTCGTTGGCTCGGTGTCTTTGTCCCACTCAGGAAAAGGGGCCGAGCCCACTGGGGGCAGGCCGGGCCGTCCAGGGCGCTTGGCTCCGCGCCACCTCCCCTTGGTGGAGGCTGCAGTCGCCAATGGCCTTTTTGTTACAACCCCTGTCCCCCCTTCTTCCCTTCCTCTTGTTCAAACACCATTGACCTGCAGGTCTCTTGGGTCACGTCTGCCAAGTGCAGAGAGAGGCTGCGCCGTGAAAACATGGGTTCCCTTCTCCCGCTGGGTGGATGAGCCTCTCCTCACCACAGTTAAGTGCTTGCCTGCTACCCAGAAGGTTGGAGGTTCCAGCCTACCCGTAGGCACCTCGGAGGAAAGGCCTGGTGATCTGTTTCTGTAAAAGCCGCCATTGAAAGTCCACATGGCGGTGCTGCGAGTTAGCATGGACTCCAGGCGCCTGCTTTGGCTTTCTCGGTTTGCCTCTCAGGGTCAGGCAGCCTGCTTCCTTGTATTTGTTGCGTCGAGCATTTTAATCCCTTGCGTGTCATGGGAGTGGGAGATTCCTGTCGGCTCTGATCTCAGGAGGGCACCGCCGTGGTGTTGGTCCCTTCCTCCAGAGCACGTGGATGCTCATCGGGTGGGGGTGGGGACCCGCAGGGTTTCCTCCCTTGTAGGTGGGGTCGCTGTGAGTGGGGGCCGACTGGAGGGCAGGTCCCAGCCGTGAGTGGATGACTGCAGAGAAGGGGCTGGCATGTCTGCCGTTCAGCAGGTGACCAGAGGGAGGTCAGGAAGGAGGGAGGCAGTGGGGAGGAAAGGGCATTGAGGCTGCCGGTGGGCTCCGAGGGTTCTGGGCTGGACAAGAGGCGGTGCCCGCATGGAAATGGTGTGTGGGTTTGCGGTGGGACTGTGTGTTCAGAAAGTGGGGACTGTCTGGCAGACGACCTTTTGGGTCCTTAGGGAGGAAGACAGGTGGCGGTATGGGGGGTCGGTCTGGATGAGAGGTCCGTGTGTTTGTGGGCTCAGGGGACAGAGGCAGAGGAGAAACAAACACAAGCCTTTTCTTTTCCTCTTTGGACTACTGTCCTGTCGGAGGAGTGCCCTCCAGTAACTGGCCATTGGGCAATTTTCTAGATGTGACTTACGCCCTGGCATGGGTTTCACAGGTACAGTCTGCGTCACACCAATTGCAGGTTCCGCGCTGGCAGTGAGCCAGGGGTCACTCATTTCCATCAGGTACCATCAATGACAGAATGAAACTAGCAGGGTGCAGAATGGACCACTGCCAAAATCCATTCAGGTGCAAAGCCAGATTTCAGAACCCCTCACCTTAAAAATTGCTCGCTTCCTGATCCTTTGCGATGCCCTGAGTTTTGAAACCCAACAATAGCAAGCAGTAATAGAAATGCTTGCTGGAGACCAAGAGGGCCTTGGAATCATGTGTAAACGTGGTGGGCTTAGAAGTGACTAGGACTCTGATGGCACTGTCATTAAAGCCCTGGGCTGCTAACCAAAAGGTTGGCAGTTCAAACCTACCAGCCACTCCATGGGAAAAAAGTGAGGCAACCTGTTTCAGTAAAGATTGACAGACTTGGAAACTCCATGAGGCAGCTCTGTCCTCTAGGGGCGCTGTGAGTCAGATTGACTCCACGGCAGTGGGTTTGGTTTTTGATTCATGAGTGACTACATGGGCACTTTGGTTATGTTCTTGAGGGCAGCAGCTCCCACGTTGAAGTGTCCATCATGAGGACCTGGAGGGCTTATTAGAACTGGGCGTGCTGGGCGCCCTCCGAGTTTCTCCTGCGGAAGGTCTGGGTGGGGCCCCTGCACTTGCATTTCCAGCAGGTCCCCAGGGATGTGGGCTGGTCAGGACCACACCGCTCTCTTCCCGCTTCTTTCTCATAGTCACCTCTTGCTTGTGTCCATCCTTCCTAAGCATTCCTGCCCCACCCTAACCGCAAGCTATTTCTCTGTGCAAACACTGCCCTTTTATTCTCCCAGGATTGATCACTCTAAGGGGTGTATCTAACCAAAACCAAAAAACCAAACTCACTGCCCTGGAGTCATTCGACTCATGGTGACTCCTCCTGGGGTTTCTGAGGCAATAGCTCTGTGGAAGTAGTTTGTCCAGTCGTCCTTCTGAGGAGTGGCTGGTAGGTTTGAACCGCCAGCCTTCTACTTAGCAGTCAAGTGCCTTAGGCACTATGCCACCAGAGCTCCCAAGGAGTGTATCTACCTGATATAAATGTTCACTCTGTATGCCTATCTACTGTTTGGCTGGAAGCCACAGGAGTGAGTTCTGGTCCAGACCTGAAGGGCAGCCAGGGGCCATAGTCTCAGGGTCTCACCAGGCTCTATCAAGGCAGCAAACCTGATCTTTTTTTTTTTTTAATGGTTTTGAGTTTTGTTCCACATTGTTCTCCCACTCTATCCAGGACCTCAGACTCCTTTTCTTGATGGAAGGTGGGTTTCTTCCGGTAGACCAGCAGGCCCTGCTTTCCTAGCAGGCTGGCCTTGCCCAGGGCTCGTGATTCCAGGCGCGTCTTTGTCGCGATCGGGGCGCTTTGATTGTAGCTCTGCCTGCAGTGAGCTACAGTTGGCTCAGGTGCAATGTGGAACACGCCCTTTTCCCCGGGACAGAACCAATCCTGGACCTCTCCGAACCTGGTTGCTGCCTCGTCACCATTTGTGTGTTAGTGTCCTGGGGCTGCCAGAATGAAGTAGAACAGAGTGAGTGGCTTCACACCTCAGCCATTTCCTGTCTCACTCTCGAGGCCAGGAGTTCGATTCCAGCTGTGGAGGCCAGGAGTTCGATTCTGGCTGTTTCAGGCTGTTGGCAGAGCCGTGCTGTCTCCGAAGGTCCGAGGGGAAGATCCTTCTCATATCCCTTGGTGCCTGGTGGTGCAGGTGTCCTTGGTTTGTGGGTGCATCTTCACGTGGCTGTCTTCTCTGGGTCTCTCTGCTTGTGTCTCTTCTCTTTAAAAGGATACCATGTGATGGAATTAGGACCCACTCTACCCGAAAATATACAGGGAGCTCCGGTGGTGCAGTGGTTAAGGCACTTGGCTGCTAATGAAAAGGTCGGTGGTTCAAACCTACCAGCTGTTCCACGGGAGAAAGATGAGGCAGTCTGCTTCATTAGGGTTGACAGCCTTGGAAACCCTCTGGGGCAGTTCGACTCTGTCTCTCACTGAATCGGAATTTACTGCAGTGGGTTCTTTTTGCAACTCCAGCATGATCTCGTGTTAACCGATAACACCTTCAGAGACCCCATTTCTAAACAAGGTTCAAACTCACAGGTATCGAAGATTAGGACTTTGAAATCCCTTTTGTGGCGACACGATTTGACTCCTGACAGTCGGTTTCTTGTCTCTGCAGGAGAGATTGAGCGGTGCAGCTACATTAAGTACCACTACTCCTCAGCCACCATCCCCAGGAACCTCACCTTCAATATCACGAAGACCATCCGCCAGGACGAGTGGCACGCCCTGCGTAAGTACAGCGCGTCTCCCGGGTCGGCTGTGGCTGGGCCGTGGTGTCAGCCTTTGCAGGGAGGGACTGGGCTGGGGGCCCTCCTCCTGGGCTCCGGGGACAGTCTCAGAACAGAATGGCAGCTCCTTAAAGTGCCAGGGTCTACAGGTCAGAATTGCCTCAGCTGTCTTGGATTGCGTTACAGCACTGAGGCAATTCCCTAAAGGATGTTAGACGTTGTTGTAGTTGTTATGTGCCGTGCCGTGGAGTCACCCCGACTCAGAGCTACCCCTCCTTGGGTTTTCGAGGCAGTATCACTACGGAAGTAGACTGCCCAACCTTCCTTCTGAGGAGTGGCTGGTGGGTTTGAACTGCCTCTGGTTAGCCGTCAAGTGCCTTCAGCACTATACCACCAGTGCACCTGAAGGATGTTAGATAGTGATGTCATTTCACTAGCTCAGGAGGCAGGTAAGATTTCACCCACTTGCCTGAGCCAACCGCCGGGGTTTGACTCCAGCAGGGCTGCAGGTTGCTTGGTTGCTGTCATGGCCTGTGAGTGCCTGGTATTGTCCTTTGTACAGAGCGGGACCAGCTGGAGGGGAATTTGTGTCTGGCTGCATGGCTGAGGGGTAGGATCTGGTCAGCTTACCTGGAGGGATAGCGTGTGCGGCATGGTTCACAGGTGATGACTCGGCACAGAGCAGAGGAGCTGTATCCAGGGTGAGGCCGATTCTTGACCAGAGATCCTGAGGGACTTCAGTTCTGATGTGAGGGTGTTTGGTGTGCATGTGGACCTGGTTGGCCGTTCTTGCACTTCTGCTCTGTGCGGACACCACTGTCCGACTGTGTCTGGGAAGCGTCCCCTGTGGCTGTACAGTGCTTCCTTCTGGCCTGTTCCCCCATCCTAAGCCCCCTGCTGTCCCTGCTGCCTTCAACATGACAGTCGTGTTCGACTTTTCTCATGTGATGTTGCAAGTTTAAGATCCAGTTCAGACTTACATGTTTAATAGGTTTCTTTTTTTAAAAAGTGTATTTGATAATTTCCCAATAATCAGGAACCTTAATTGGTAAACTCTGAAGAAGGTGGGCTCTTCAGGCTGAAGACATCTTTTTCTTGTCACTGTTGCCTAGTGATCTTTTGTGTGCGTTGGACCCTCCCAGGATAGTCCACTTTTGGGTTTGACTTTAATAAGACAACCATGGCGTGGGAATAGGAGGTAAGAGAGACAAGCTAAAGGAAACAAACCAACCAAACAAATATTCATTGGTTGGGGATGGGGAAGGTGTGGCCAGGTCTCCTGGTGATTGGGTAGGTGTTGATGATGGGGTCTCCTGGTGATTGTTGCTAGATGACAGGGCGGGTGTTGGCGATGGGATTCCCTGGTGATTGTTGGTAGGTGACAGGGCGGGTGTCAGCAATAGGGTCAGCTGGTGATTGTTGCTTCGTGGCAGGGCGGGTGTTGGTGATGGGGTCTCCTGGAGATTGTTGCTAATAGGCTCATAATAGGTTGTAATAGGATTCAGAATCTAAGAAGGAAGACATCGCTGTAATTCCTGTGAACTGGATTCCACCAAATGTACTGAGCGTCTCTGTACCAGGCGTGTTGTGGGTGGAGAGGCCGCAGGGAGCTCTACAAAGGACCTCAAGTGTGGGGAGTGGAAGGGGGGGGCGGACAGATATATTCACAAAGCAAGTAATTACAAGGCAATGCAATAATTACAATCTAGTATAATTGCTTCAGACAATTAAGAGAGTTGGTGAACGTTTTTCGCAAGAAGGAGACTGACTTTGGTGTAGGTTGTGTGGCTGCAGGTGGGGGACCTGGTAGAACTCCCTGGCTGTACACATGTTGTCTCTGGGTGCTGTCAAGTCGATTCTGACTCACATGTCCCCATGGGACAGAGGAGAACTGCCTCACCAGGTTTCCTAGGCTGTCATCGTTACGGGGGCAGATCACCAAGTCTTCTCTCCCCTAGGGCGGATGGTGGGTCCGAACTGCCAACCTTCCAGTTAGCAGCTGAGTGTGTAACCATTACACCACCAAGGCTCCTTGTACATACTGTAGGTACCTGGAATTCCATTGGATCACACCACTGAGGCACCACTGAACTGTGTCACATGCCATCAGCCAGGGCAGGGAGGGGGCTCGTGCTGGGTTATTGGATCATGAAACCATGTGTTTCCGGCATCCTCGTCCCTAAACTGCCACTTATGCTGTGAACTGGCTGCTGGCAGATGTACTCATCACTGATGGACACTTCCTGTCTGTTGATGCAGGAGAAGGGTTCAGGGACACGGTTCTGGGTGCGGTGGGGACCGCCTTCGGAGAGGGACTTCTTGCCTCTTTCTCAGGATCTCCTCTGGTCTGTTAAGCAGGCAGAGCACACTTGCCGCTCCTGACAAGGGTGGTGGGTATTTTCAGCCAGAGGGCAGGTGAGCGTCTGCCACCTCTGAAGTTGGTGCCATGTGACCGGACTGCTGGCATAATGGGAAGCCCAGTCAATGCCCATTTAAATTTTCTGAGATCAGATATTGACAACACTGGGGTGGTGGTTGGCACATCAGCCCCTTTAGGAATAAGGTAGAAATGAGGAGAGGTTTGCACACTCCTGTGGTCACACTGAGGAGTCCTGGAGCCACAGTGGTTAAGCACTCAGATCCTCACTAAATGTTCAAGTTCAAACCCCCCAGCCTGGTCCATGGGAGTGAGCCATGGTTGTCTGCTTCTGTGAAAAGGACAACCTTGGAAACCCGGTGGGGCCGTGCTGGTCTGTCCTGTTGGGTTGCTGTGAGTTGGGATTAACTCGGTGGCGGTGGGTTTGGTTTGATATGGATATGGACAAACTAAGGATACCCTGGAGCCTTAACTTCGGTTAAGTGCCTGCCTGTCACCTGAAAGGTTGGCAGTGTGGTCCCCCTAGCAGCAGCTCCACACGAGAAAGACCGAGCAGTCTGCTTCCATAAACATGGCAGCCAAGGAAACCCTGGAGGGCAGGTCTGCTGTGTCACACGGGGTGGCCGTCAGTCGGATGAACTTGACGGTCCCCAACAACAGCAACATGGTAAAGCTGAAGGAATGAAAGGAAAAACTGACGTATACCCAAGTCACAGTGGACGTTGAAAAATAAATATCAGAATCTTAATTTTCTTTTTACTTGTTTTGAGAATCTTGAACTCTTTAATGCTGGGAATGCGGTCAAGGAAATTCATCTGATGCTAGGTTGGTTATAAGTTTATCATCTGGGCTTAACAGCTCACATTCCATATTTTCTCTTAGTGGGTAATTATTGCCAAAAGAAGGCATTTGATTTTTTTATTTCCTGACACAGCTTCAGGCAGATTTGGGACTTCAGGTAAACTCGACCAGGTTATAGACTTTCCAGGAATCTGCACTGTGGTCCCATCATCAACTACTGGTGTGGAAACAGTATTTTCCCAAACAGGAAAGTGACTCTTTAGTTTAAATGTATGCTGTTAATGCTCCCCATGGGAGGCGTAACTGGCCAGGAGCTCATCACCTCATGGGGAGCTGACTAGCAGGTGACAGACTGCATTATCTGTGGGTCCCTGGGCTTGTTGGTCCCCCAGGTGAAGACATAATAAAAGACTGAGCAAAGGGCAGAGAGTCCACATAGGGGATGTTTACGCATGTGCGTGCGCTCGTGAGTGTGTACATGTGTGTGCATGTATGTGTACTCACGAACGTGCACATGTGTGCATGTATGTGTACTCATGAACGTGCACATGTGTGCATGTATGTGTACTCACGAACGTGCACATGTGTGCATGTGTGTGCCCAGGGTCCCAGTGCAGAGCTGTGCTGCTGAGTCCCGGCTCGGCTGGTGCTGGGGGATGTACTGTTTGTGGGTCCCCTTCCCACCTAAGTGGAGCTCCCTGGTTCTGAGAAGGCAGAACTTACTCTGAGTTGAACCCTGCCCTTCATTCCCCAGGCCACCAGTGCCACCACCTGCCTTCCTTCTCACAGGGGTTCTGGGTAGGTGGGATTAGGGTCTGTGTACTATGGATGCCTGCTCCTGACCTGGGTTTGCTGGCCTGTGAGGACAGAGAGGCCGCCCCAGAGCCTTACGGGTGACCTCTTAGACAGGTGTCTGGAGTGGGCGTTTTGGTCATGGTGGGATCACATTGACAGTGGCCAGGGCAGACTGTGGCATGGCAAGGGCATTTCACTGGGTGCTGACCCCTCCCTTGCCAAAGACGCCCCAAAGGCTGTGGTAGTCGCAGTACAGATCTTGAGCCACCTAGGGCCCCAAGGCCAGCCCGAGGGCTCTGCCTTCTCTCCCCCTGCACCCCCTAGGGCCCCAGCTGGCCTAGTCAGCAGAGCTGGGGGCCTGGACACTGGCCCAGTGGCGGGATGGGCACGGGCTGGGAGGGGAACCTGGGTAGCCTCCACAGCCCCTGGGTGGCAGGTGAGCTCTGGCAAGGAGGAGGCCAGGAGAGCAGGGCTGTGGGAGGAGGTTATCACCAGCGTGGATGCTTCCTCGGAAAGGGAAGCACAGAGGCAGGCCTTCCTGTACCGGTGGCCCCTGAGGCTGCTGGGCTGGGCACCTGCAGACACTGGGAGAAGGACCCCTCTGGCCAGGGCCAGAGCAGCAGTGATGATGTGTGTGTGTGGTGTGCATGTGAGATGTGCTGTGTGTGTGAGCTGTGTATGTGTGTGCAGTGTGTGGTATGTTTATGGTGCATGTGTGGTATGTGCTGTGTGTGTGAATGTGTGTGAGGTATGTTTATGGTGTGTGTGTGTATGTGCAGTGTGTGGTATGTTTATGGTGCATGTGTGGTATGTGCTGTGTGTGTGAGATGTGTGTGAGGTATGTTTATGGTGTGTGTGTATGTGTATGCAGTGTGTGGTGTGTTTATGGTGCACGTGTGGTGTGTGCTGTGTGTGTGAGATGTGTGTGAGGTGTGTTTATGGTGTGTGTGTGTGTGTGCTGTGTGTGTGATGTATGTGTTTGTGTGTATGTGTTTATGTGTGTGTGTGAGCTCAGACTGCCCCACCCGC